AATGGATCTTTCGGTCAAGATCGACGACTTGGTTGATTGCGTGACATCCTATCCCGAATGTTAGGATCGTCATATAGCTGGAATATTGCTGGGTGCGTCGTAAAACAACAATGGTGAGGCCACAGATGATTCCGTGGCTCGAAGTATCCATTACAAGTGCATTTACACCAACTCTGGACACAAATGGTCCATACAAATCGGTTTGTTTATCCTAATTTGATATTAGTGAGAGTGAGTTTACGCCGCTTAGAACAGGATTTCAGTTTAAATGACATCCTGTAGCTTGATCTAAGCCCGAAGTGATGCAGATTTTGAACGTTTACAAAGGGTTTGTGTTGACACACTGAGAAACATAATCAGGACGAATTTTGGATCCCACGAGCATAGGTTCCTGGCACACCAAAGGAGCGCAACTCTTGACACATGGACGGCTTGATCACCCCTACAAATAAACATATCCTGGTCTACTTTTGAAAAAAGGTCATACTCAGGGCCAATCTGACATTCATAGCCATGAACAGCGGATAAAGCAGCTAAGGGGCACAACTCTTTAGTGACTATCTTTAACACTAACGCATTAATAATGTTGATGGTTGGTTGGTTGGTTGTTTTACGCCGCAGTCAGCAATATTCCAGCTTTTTGACGGCAGTCTGTAAATAATCGAGTCTGGAACAGACAATCCAGTGAATGATATCATGAGTATCGATCCACGCAATTGGGATACAATGACATACTTCAACCAAGTCAGCGAGCCTGGCCACCCGATCCCGTTAGTCGCATTGTTGCCCTTTACGGCAAGAATGGGTTGCTGAAGACCTATTCTACCCCGGATCTTCACGGGTCCATTATTAATGTGCCAAGCGTACATTGTAAATTCCTATTAGATCTTGGAACGAATGTTTTGGACAAAAACACGTGGTTAATACTTGAGTGACACCTTCTGATCAGTCCGCGGAAGTTTCTCTGTACCCTAGGAATGGAAACGATGTCATTTTAAAGTACAAAGTACACAGTACAAAGAAATCAGTACAATAGCACAAACATAAAGCAGCATTAATAATTGTACATCACGATCTACTATGGATTGGTAGCTTATAATTGACCTCGCAGACTCATACATAGCGTCCTAAGCACGGATACTGTCTGATTCTTCATGTGACATTATATGGGTGAAGTTACAAAGAAATTTGAGGATTCACTTCCGGTGACTGGTCGGAATGTAACTAATCCGAAGACGGATTTTATCATTCTTCTGGGGCGGTCGGGTAGCCCAGTGGTTAAAGCATTCGCTCGTCACGCCGAAGACCCGGGTTCGATTCCCGACATGGGTACAATGTGTGAAGCCCATTTCTGGTGTACCCCACCGTGATATTGCTGGAATATTGCTTAAAGCGGCATAAAACCAAACTCACTCACTCACTCACTATCATTATTCTGCAATCAGCGCTGCAAAGAAATTCCGAGGTTTGAAACATCGATTTCTTCAACAAACAAATATCTATCCCCTCTTAAAACCATAACCTACCGATTGCGATTAGTCGATAGCGTGTACCTGGGGAAGATAAAAATTGTCATCTATGTAATTCTACCGCAGTTGGACATATTATCTCTTGAAGTGAAGCACTTCTCCCCAAAATACATGTAATTTTGTAGTATTTTTTAATCATGACCTGATCGTTTAAAGAGGTGATTTGTTAAATTCAAGCAGCATGAATGAACTGAGAAATTTGCCAGAACAGTTCTGTATAAGTATGTTACACATACATGCTCATGTACCACCGTGAGTGGTTTGGTGAGGTGAGGTTTTGACATTACTATTTCATTCACACAAGTGGCTGCTTGTACTTGTCCTGACTAAGGCTGTTTTTTTAGTGCTAGCCTACTGAGATACCTTGCTGCAGCTTAATATGGATACCCCACCCAGACACAGTATACTGACTTCTAGCCGACCAGTCCTTGTCTTATACCCATATCCCGACGGGTAACACGTCACAGCAACTTGTTATTGGTCAGTATACAAGACTATATACCCCCTATATATGAGTAGAGAAGTCCCTGTGTAAAAAGTACTATTTTGAAATATGTTTGGTATGACACGGCCGGGTATGGAATCAGTAACCTTACGCTCTCCTGGCACTACACCAAGGAAAAGGGCGGATGCTGCATTTTCAAGGGAGGGATCCAAAATATCAAAATCCTCTTTCAGATACGTTTACTGCCTACAGCATCCTACATTTTGGTTTTTAAAATGGGGCGAGGGGGGAGGACCCCCTTGGTAACCAACCACCCGCCCCAGACTGTGGACAGGGTGGAATTTGGGGATATATTGGCTGTACTATCGGTTAGGTAAGTGATTGTAGTATATTTGGAGTCAACTATTGGCTTATTTTGCAATATTTGTGTATTTGATTCTTTCGAACGGGCATCTCACAATACGTGGCCTCTGTTTTCGCGCATTGTGACCACGAATTGTTGTAATCTCAAGTTGCTCATGGGTATATTTGGGTGTGGAAAGCGACGTTGATTGGGACGGGGATGGAGATATTCATTCTTCATCGTTTGAGAAAACCTCGACAGATGCTGAATTTGCCGAGAGGTACAAGTCGATTATATCCAAATGCTTGAAGCGAAAGCATGTAGATGACCATGCTGGAAATAGCTTTTCCTTTCGGCAAGCATGTGTTGCTGATGACCTATTCTCACCCGGATCTTCACGAGACCGATGCAAAAATATAAAGCCTGTATGTCCTAAGTTCAGTGGTGAGCACAAAATCGATTTTTTTCAGAAAAGATATATCTATACGGTCCGGGGTGAAAGCGATCAGTGGCAAAACTGGACTGTGGAAAACAAACATTCTGTCAGCAGTTCTGACATTTTTGTCACGAATTTAGGGAATATAAACAAGGCTTTGACACAAACTTTCTGCCTGAAATGTCTTCTGCCATGTTAGGTTGTAGCTCGGAAAAAATACTGCTTTAACTCATGATAAACATAAGGCAGCCATACCAACAACACATAGATCGTCACCTGGTGCAAATGAGTTTTGTTATGAAATGTTTAAGCATGTGTCAGATTCTGCTGTTATTCGGACTTTAAATTGGTGCCCAGGACCTTTGGCTAAGACCTGGAGACGTGCCGTAATAGTTCCCTTGCTAAAGCCAGGAAACGATCCATTACTTCCTTGGTCTTACAACGATTGCTCTCACTTTAAATTTATGTAAAATCATGGGGGGGGCATAGTAACTAATCGCTTGAACCATCACCTTGAACGAAATGAGCTTCTTAACCAAATCCAGTCAGTATTCAGAAGAGGACGTTCATGTGTTGGTCAGCAGTTTCGCCTGAAACTGAGTCACAGAAAGCTATTTGAAGTCAACAGTGCATGTGTGTCTTTCTTGATATTGAAACACCTTATGAGCCTGTTACTAGAAACAAATAGTGGTGTTTGAAAATAGACCTAAACCCCGTTGTATGGGGAAACTCAGGTACTTGGGTCATGTAGGACTGGGTACCCACAGGGATACTGGATCTGAACCTAATCTCATTAAAATCAGATCTAAGTTCTCGCTGCCGCAAAACAAAGATCTGAGGACATCCCACTACGGGTCACGTCAGAACGACGTTTCGCGAACTTTGACCGACCACGGAAATGACTAGCAGCTCGTTTCAACCTGGCGACTTCTATTTCAGACTACGCTTCAAAAATATACTGACACATTAAAAATTTGAAAACTGAACAAACGAACATTCAGGAATGTCTAATATATGGTTGAGATTGTATGTCAACGCCTCTCCCGTTCAAATGTTTATCCCACGGAAGCGAGAGATAGACGATAATTTTGACGGAATCAGTCGTAACTGTCGTTCGGAATACCCCGTGTTAACGTTTTCGAGGTTGCATGATTAGAAAACACATTCCGAATGTCACTTTCATGATCTGGTAAGTGACACTTTGATTGGTCGGATGAAAGGACGCTCTGACGTGACCCGTAATGGGATGTCCTCAGATCTTTGTTTAGCGATAGCGAGAACTAAGATCTGATTTTTATGAGATTGGATCTGAACCCAGATCCACGGAAAGTCACGATATAGTGTTTAATGACAAGAAGAATACAACTCCATGGTTACACTACAAGTCTCTAATGTTCGCATTTCTTTCTGACTTTTAAATGTTAGAGTAATTATAAATCTTCAGTCATAATTCATGTATGGATAATCAGATAATTTTTTTCACATGTGTATCTAAATAGTTTTGGCCAGAGCTGCAGTAAAACATTCCCAGTCAGACATTTTGTACTAAACTCTTCAGACCTACAGTCCCTATGGAATGGGTTGGGTAATAGGTGGTCGGTATGGGTCGGTATTTAGACTTGTCCCAGCCCTAGTTAGCATCTTCTCCCCCTTTTTGAAATATACAGAAAATGTAAAGTATAAAAACATAACTGAATTATAAATTCTGTCACAAATTATCAAAATGTACACAATTCTGTTCTACTCTGAAACTTTGCACACACATCTACCTGGACCTGACTGACAAATCTGGTTTTATGTTTTCTAATCTTGAAGTATGGTAGATAGGAAAAGAAATACGTTCAGTCACAGCATATAATACCCACAACCTGGAATGTAGCTCATGCCATCGACCACTAGTTCACATGGCCAAGACATGATAAAGCTGACCACATGTGGCATGAATAAATAATCACTCACTTATTCACAAGTCAATATTGACCATCTTTAACTTCAGAAAGTTTTTCTTTTAAACACAGGCAGTTTATCAAGTGTGTGAGTGAGTTTTACGCTGCTTTTAGCAGAATTCCAGCAATATCACGCTGAGAACACCAGAAATGGGCTTCACACATTCTATTCTTGTGGAGAATTGAACCGGGGTTCTTGGCATGAAGAGTGAATGATTTAACCACTTGGCCACCCAACTGCCTTTTATTGATGGAAGAAACATATCTCATGAAATTCATAACATACAACAAACACCTGACATTACAAAAGAACATCATTTTAATCAATCACTATCCTCTTCCTCATCCTCGCTGTCATCGTCATCACTGTCACTATCACCAACATTGTCTTTTTTATCATCATCATCAACCAAACCAGAGAAAAAATTGTCCTGTTTTGATGAATTCAAGCGTTTATTCTTGTTGGCTTTCTTTGCTTTCTTCCTCTCGTTAAACTTGATGTTTTCAAGTCCTTCAATGTTCCAGAACTTAACCTTCTGGTCATGGGAGCAGCTGGCCAGCAGGGTCTTGTCATGGGACAGACACAGCCCTTCCACGGGGAAATTCTCATGCTCCCCAACAACACCCACAAAACGATTTGGCAGAATGTTCACAGCCCTGGGAACACAGAAATGTTTAGAAGTTTTAAAACAATTTAGGTTCCTATTTTACTTGCAAGTCTAATGTTTATAAAAGTTGAAAAAATATAATTGAAAATGCTGCTCGTTTAAACATATGCTTTTTAAAACATCATTTATTTGTATTTTGGTGAGTATATATAAACTGCAATTCAATCCTGACAACTTGTATTTCGGTCCTTGTCTCTTGTCACACTGACCAAGAGAACATGAGAAAACTGGGAAGAATTTCTTTTTTTAGTTTGTCAGGCCACTTTCTTATGATCTGAACACATTAATAAAAAAAAAAAAATAATAATAATAATATGGATATTCCACACCTGACAATGTTTTCTGTAATGCCATCTATATATGGTATACATGATATACTGTACCTGATAATGCTATCTACAGAGGTGGTACACATGATATACTATACCTGATAATGCCATCTATAGAGGTGGTAGACATGATATACTGTACCTGATAATGCCATCTATAGAGGTGAAGGCATGATATACTGTACCTGATAATGCCTTCTTTAGAGGTGGTATACATGATATATTATACCTGGTAATGCCATCTATAGAGGTGGTATACATAATATACTATACCTGATAATGCCATCTACAGAGGTGGTACACATGAATGATATACTGTACCTGATAATGCCATCTATATATGGTATACATGATATACTATACCTGATAATGCCTTCTATAGAGCCAGTACAATGATATACTGTACCTGATAATGCCATCTATATATGGTATACATGATATACAGTACCTGATAATGCTATCTACAGAGGTGGTACACATGATATACTATACTTGATAATGCCATCTATAGAGGTGGTAGACATGATATACTGTACCTGATAATGCCTTCATTAGAGGTGGTACACATGCTATACTGTACCTGATAATGCCATCTATATATGGTATACATGATATACCCTACTTGATAATGCCATCTATAGAGGTGGTAACATTGATATACTGTACCTGATAATGCCATCTAAAGAGGTGGTAGACATGATATACTATATCTGATAATGCCATCTATAGAGGTGGTACACATGATATACTGTAACTGATAATGCCATCTATATATGGTATACATGATATACTATACTTAATAATGACATCTATAGAGGTGGTACACATGATATACTGTACCTGATAATGCCATCTAAAGAGGTGGTAGACATGATATACTATACCTGATAATGCCATCTATAGAGGTGGTACACATGATATACTGTAACTGATAATGCCATCTATAGAGGTGGTAGACATGATATACTATACCTGATAATGTCATCTAAAGAGGTGGTAGACATGATATACTATACCTGATAATGCCATCTATAGAGGTTGTACACATGATATACTATACTTGATAATGCCATCTATACATGTATATGGTATACATGATATACTATACCTGATAATGCCATCTATATATGGTATACATGATATACTATACCTGATAATGCCATCTATAGAGGTGGTATACATAATATACTATACCTGATAATGCCATCTAAAGAGGTGGTAGACATGATATATTATACCTGATAATGCCATCTATAAAGTTGGTACACATGATATACTGTACCTGATAATGCCATCTATAGAACCAGTACACACAACATCGCGGGTGATGGGCACCATACAGTCTACGGACATTGGATGTCCCGGGAAGCGGTCACTGATGTTGCCCCACTCCCCCCAGTTGAAGACGTTCAGGACCCCCTCCCCAGTACCACACACCACCTTCTTCTCCCCCTGAAACAACACAGGACAGCATCAATACAGGTACATTACAGCGCTCCCTTCCCCTCCCCAGTACCACACACCACCTTCTTCTCCCCCTGAAACAACACAGGACAGCATCAATACAGGTACATTACAACGCTCTATGCTTCAAAACTACAGTGTTGTTGGATTAAACATGTTCACTGAGACAACATGAATGAGTGAGTTAGTGAATGTATTTTAACATGCCATTCCACAGTCTTGTTTAACGCAGCCCTCAGCCATAACATCTGTGCGATTGAGATCTGTAAATAAGCCTGTACTTTAACACTGCATTCAATGCAACAATCTAAAACTAAGCTTTTGGCACACAGCCAAATATCGGCCTCAGAGCAGGTCTAGATAAATCCTATGACATATTCAAGTTCATCTTGCTTGGGCTTAAACATGTTAAATGTGATGGTTCGTTTGTGGAAGAGCGGACATGATGTGTCTCTTTGAACATGTCGACGACTTTCTTTTCTCAAACAATTACAACTAAATACATGGTTGTCCTACGCAACCGTGTAGTAATCCAGTTTCAAAAGAGCAAACATTCTGCCTCCGCTTAGCGATATGAGTCCAAACCAGACAGTCAACAGAAGACCAACCTTTCGGTACATGGAGATATGAAACTGTTTATTATTTTGGAACATTTCAGGACTACTTCTTGCTCTTCATCTTGAGCCAAGAAACATCACAGAGAGATAATCATCATAATAAAGTTGTTGTCATTAAATTTTCATAACTGATTCTTCAAGTGCTGCTTATTTCTAGATCTACCTGCCAAATTCATCAGAACATCAAATCATTTATATTCCTTGTCAAAAGATGATGTAACAGCATAAACCAACTTTCTCACTCACTCAAACAAGTCCTTATCATCAGAACATCTAATCATATATATATTCCTTATCACGGATGATAAAACAACATAAACCAACTCACTCACACACACAAGTCCTTATCATCAGAACATCAAATCATATATATATATTCCTTATCACAGATGATAAAACAACATAAACCAACTCACTCACTCACTCACTCACACACACAAGTCCTTATCATAAGAACATCAAATCATAAATATATATTCCTTATCACAGCTGATAAAACAACAGAAGGCAACTCTCTCACTCACTAAAACAAGTCTTTTTAATCAGAACATCAAATCACGTATATATTCCTTATCACGGATGATAAAACAACATAAACCAACTCACTCACTCACACACAAGTCCTTATCCTAAGAACATCAAATCATATATCACTCTTATCACAGCTGATAAAACAACTTAACCCAACTCTCTCACTCACTCACACAAGTCCTTATGATCAGAACATCAAATCATATATATATATATGTATATATTCTAGGGCTGGGATGGGTAACTAGGGTACGGGGGTCGGGGAGGTACTGAGTAGGACCCGGATACTCACAGGACTACCCGGACCCATGTTTAGTCACGTGATATATTGTTTACTGACAAAAAATATCTAGAACTCTATAGTTGCACTACAAGTCACAAATGTTCGCATTTCTTTCTGACTATGCACCCAATCCTTCTGACTTTTTATATCTTTGAATAAAGATGTAACTTGAGTCAACTTCAGTGTATGCATGACCAGATTGTTTATTACCTGTATCTGAATACGTTTTGCCAGTGCTATGGTAAACACATGCCCAATCGGACATTTTGTACCTATCTCTTGAGACCTACAGTGGGTACACGGGTAGGGTCGGGTAATAGGGTGGTGGGTACCCGGGTAGTAAATTCGAAATCATCCCAGCCCTGATATATTCCTTATCACAGATGATAAAACAAAATAAACCAACTCTCTCACTCATTCACACAAGTCCTTATCATCAGAACATCAAATAATATACATATTTCTTATCACAGGTGATAAAACAACTTAAACCAACGTGGCATCAGAGGCAATGCTCACAAGAGTGTTTATGAGACTTGTTAACAGGTTACATGTTATCAACATGATCCATAAGAGAGCTACAACTGGGATGGATCATGCTGTAGTTTTCATGAATTAAATCCACAACTATCATGTTGGAAACGCTTCTGTATACTCAGAAGCAACACTACTGGAAATGAAATAATTACCAACTCTAGGTCTTTGAGAGTATCATGCAGCTTTTGAAAGAACTTTATAGTATATGTCTTAGCAGTAGAAGAACTAGTTTAATCTGGACCAGACTAGTCAGACAAGGCACAAAACCTGACATCGCAATCCCCATCTTAGTTTGCTCCTATGACAAGTGTGAGGTTCCGGGGACTCCCCAAAGAGAATGTTTATAGAATACCAGTGTTACAAGACACAATACAATTCTGCACAAATGAAATCTGAAACCTTTAAATTTTGTAATTGAAGACAAACATTTTCTCAAAATAAACGGTTGCAAAATATACCAGCATGTGCCAATAGATAAAATAAGCCATATCATAATGCACCTAACATGCCCAATATCCTCGTGCTTGTTTATGGTGCTTTGATCAAAGCACCTGATACTGATAATAAATAGTGGATATTTATCATGTTCATAATGTGCAAAATCCAAACCCTGAAGCATAATAACCCCGATCAATGGATCAGTGTGAATACAAATTTCATTACCAGTACCATCTGGGGAGTATGTACAACCCAAACTGCCTCATGAAGCACTGGATTGGTTAGTTAGTTGTTTAACGCCGCACTCAGCAATATATTCCAGCTATATGACGGCGGTCTGTAAATAATCGAGTCTGGACCAGACAGTCCAGTGATTGATATGAATCACTGGAAGGTTAAGAGTCACTTTACCATCTCATCCTACCAGGTGCACATTCACTGATGGGTGAATAGAAGCATGTTTCCAACAAGTTTCTGGCCTAAGGAGACACCACATGTGTAATGTGTCTTAGTGAGGGGCAGGACCCAAACCCAAGAAAATCAGGAGTCAAGATTGCCGAACATGATCACCCATCAATCTCCTATCCACTACCAATGGTGATTAACTTTGCCCAATTTGTGGTCAGTGTGCTGTACAAGGGTCCATGTGTCACCACATTACCAAGGACTATGAATCAGGGTGCATTGCAATTGCATTCTGGTCTTCCAGGGAAGTCCACTACCAACTACATGTATGAACATATATTTATTTTATATTTACTGTAAATTTGAAATTAACGCGAGCGTGAATTAATTGCTAAAAATGCGAGTGGTCCTTACTCGCATTATTAAACATCACATTTATATCAACAATAAGACATTTAGGATAGCAGAAATACCAACTTGGACATACGTACGCTGAAAACAAACAACAACATCACTGTTTAATGAGCAGCACTTGTAACAAGTATGTAAACAATGTTATTTAAACACTAATTACATCCTGTGAATTGTCACTGCTGAGGTCAATACAAGAGTTCTACTCACTTATGTCATCACTGACCACACCTGCAAGTCCAGACAGACGCCACCCACGCATCACGGTCTCTTTGATCTTTACGACCGCATCAAAGGCTGACACGGGCCAGCACGCATGTATAGTTTTAGCAGTACTCTACTCAGCACTAATAAGCCATGCTATTTGGTGTGTGATTGAATTAATGTAAGGTTGGATTAAGGTGAGGATTCTCCTGTAAACTTGACAGGGAACATTTTCTTTAGAAATAATTCCACTAATGCTTAGAAGAGGGGGGTGTCTCATTCATATTGAGTCGCATTAATTTCACGATTAACAGTATATAAAACAAACCAGGGCTATAATCGTTTAGCTTTCATAACTGGTAACAAGGAACAAACAGTGCTAGATAAATTTGTTTCTCGTTTGTCAGCATATCAACCTGATCACGCAAGTCTACAATTATAAGATTTCTTTGTGGTATAACTGATGACTTTATCTGAGAATATATACCTTCATTGCTGCCAAACTAAGAAACTCGGAATCAAACAGTTCTGATTGCAGATCCATCCTCTTCCTACGGATGTTGAAAGCCGACAATGTACCATCACCACTGCAAAAAAGAGAGAGGTGCATTAGACACAACATGTGGGGGAGTTTGATTTACCTCTGCACTGAACAGTGCTTCAGTTATTTCAACACTACCGAGGCATGTCAGCGGGAGGTCAGCTCGCAGGTCTTAGCCGATCACCAGTTTAGTGAAACCCACGACAATGGATATGGTACTGACAAAGCAAAACAGTCAGGGCAAACCGGAATATGAACCCACAATCACAGGTCTCTGACAGATCAAAGGGACGTAACTCTGCAGAGTGAATTGCAGCGCAAGAGATGACTGGGCCACAGGTGCCTCCTAGACACAAGAAATGTCACTCTCATTCCATGAAGGAGACAGGACTAATGAATGCTGTTTCAAAATTTGTTTTTCAATATAAATGTTGGAGAGAATCAAATGAATGAAAGCCATGATTCTTTTTTCTGCACTTTTGCTTTCTGGATGCTGTCGTCATACCAAGACATTGTGGAATGTTTCTGATGCTATCGACTCTTGGTACTAGGACATGGTTGACATAGCTGAAACACATCTTCCCAAGGCAAGGGAGTTAACTGACTGTAAGAGTTCAGTTTCCACCCTTGCGGAACTAGGATGGAATTTCTGGGGGTATGATAGGAGCACCTTCAGTGGCTATTACGAGTTATGTCCCTTCTATATCCCTCCTATTGACCGTCAGATTCCACCTCTCATAGCACTTGCATTTGCGTTAAACAAAATGGCGGCGCACAGTCAAGACGATCTGATCGATAACCAAACTCTACATTGTGTTAAAATGGATCTTACTTCATGAAGTGCATCAAATCATGTGAGCACCTTGATTGAAAACATGAAAAGATTTGGAAAATATCTGTTGACTCCGAGTTGGTGGTACACATGCTTTGCAAATCCTGAAATCACCCAAATCTGAGGGGCAGTTTACGAACCAGATATCAATTTTGTTATACTAATTTGATTGGACTATGAATAGACTCATTAGTCCAGCCAAAATGTAACTCCATAATTGCAGCCTAGTTCACCAAGGGTGGAAACTGGACTTTTAAAGTCGGTTATCTCCCTTGCCTCAGGAAGATGGCCCAAATATTGCCGATTGCAATTTTGACAACTGATCTCCTAGTTTTGGAAAGACAAATGTGTAAATCAAGTAATCTGAAAAAAGAGGCCCTGGGTTAGTTGTCAGGATGTTTCAGTGAAACCTATACATGTAGGTAAAACTTGATATTTCAGTATATACTGAAATATTATACACAAGATTCAAGATTTATATTTAAAAGTAAAGATTTTAACGACATCAATCATACTCAGTGATTACATAATACTGAGTCATGTTGAACTCTTTTTAATGAAGGGGTGGGTGAGGTGAGGTGAGGTGAGGTGAGGTGAGGCGAGGTGAGGTGTGGGTAAAGCAAGGCAAGGCAAGGCAAGGCAAGGTGTTGACAGACCAAGGATCTCCGGCCGCGTCATACCCAAAGAGGTTAAAAGATTGTACTTCTTGTTGTCGTGCATGATGCATGGCATTGAGAGGCTAAAACATGGATTAGTCATCTTCCCGAGGCAAGAGAGTTAACTGACTTTGAAAGTCCAGTTTCTACCCTTGCCAAACTAGGCTGGAATTCCTGGGCTCAATCGTAGCGCCACCAGTGGCTATTACGAGTTATGTCCTTTCTGTGCCTCTCCTATTGACCAATCAGATTCAACCTCTCGTATCACTTGCATTTGTTTCAAACAAAACGGTGGCGCCCATTCAAGACGATCTGATTAATAATCAAGATCTATATTGTGATAAAACGGGTCTTACATCGTGAAGTGCATCAAATCACGTAAGCACCTTGATTTAAAACATGAAAAGATTTGGAAAATATCTGTTGACAACGAGTTAGCGGTGCACATGCTTTGCAAATCCTGCAGTCGACCGAAAACTGCATGACACTCTACGTGCCGGATTTCGATTTCGGTGCGTGATTTTGATTGGACTATGCATAGACTCGTTAGTCCAGCCAAAATCTAACTCCATAATACCAGCCTAGTTCGGCAAGGCTGGAAACTGGACTTTCATAGTCAGTTAACTCACTTGCATCGGGAAGATGGGATTGGTTGGCTCGGAGTCACCTTAACAGGAAGCAAGAAGTTAGCCTGGTGGGGGTACATTCACCCACCAGAACATAAGACCAATTTTTGTTTCCCAATGTGCTCAAAGTGGGAAGGTCGATCTGGGGTCCCCTGACAAATTTGACGAAACATTGCTGAAAGATGCCGGGTACCTGGTGACCAGGAGAATCTTCCTCTGCTCGTCTATGATCATGTCACTGATAAAATCATCATTCTCCTTCACCTCGTACGTGCATGTCTTCGTCCTCATGTCCCAAACCTGGAACACAAATGATTCACTTCATAAAGTATCACTGGATCATAGGTTTTCGGAACACAAATGATTCACTTCATAAAGTATCACTGGATCATAGGTTTTCAGACATCCTACGTTTTAGAAGAGCCATGTTTATTGTGATTACTCACACTGTAATGGAGCATCACACCTGTAAATACTCAGATGATGCCTTGTTGTAAAGAAAAAGGTTTTCTTTTATAAGTGAATAAGATGTTTACAGTTGTTCATATGAATAGAGAGAAAACTATGAAATTTTTTTATGCATCTGAAAACCCGTAACACAGGGATAATGTATTTTGAGAGGCAATATGGTATTTAGATACCTTGATTGTTCCATCATCATCTCCAGTGGCAATGAAGTTCTCATCAGTAGCAACTAAACTGTAGATCGACGCTCTGAAATTGCAAGGACTGAACCATAAATTCAATCAAACTGAAGAAACTCACTTCAAAAGCATGATGATGATAAGAGCTCACTTGAAATATCTGGTCACCAGATGTAATAGTAAATGACAAAATTGGGGAAGACTGAACATAAAGGCCTGTTGATCAAGAGTGAGTGAGTGAGTTTGGTTTTGAGCAATATCCCAGCGATATCACAGTGCATATACCAGAAATGGTGCTCCCACATTGGACCCATATAGGGAATTGAACCCAGACCATTGTCTTCATCAGGATAATAGGAGTAAGTTTAACAGCACTTTCAACAGTATTTCAGTCACATCAAAGCAAGCAGCTTTGCTGGTGGGTAGCCCCAAGTGATGCAGATGTTAGACGTTTACCCTTTAGGTGAAACAAGCACAACTATATGTTAATCATGTTAGTTGGATGGAAACTTTACCTTAAATTCCATACACAACTTTGGGGAAATCACAACTTGTCTAAAACCTAATTTAAATACACATTTTAAGTTTGAAATAAACAATTCTCTCTTAACATGTTTATAATGTCCAACTGACAAAAGCTTCCTCTTACTCGTGAGCTTTCTTGATCTTTTTCTTGACTTTGCCAGTTTCCGTGTCAATGCTCCATAACGACTTGTCCTTTGACACTGTGTGCAGACGGTCACCGCTTGGCGAGAACTTGATGCTTCGGCAAGCCTTCTTGTGGTGACACAAAGTCCTCAGTAACTTGTTAGACTCTTTTGTTGAATAGGAATGACTGAAAAGAAAACCAAATGACATATCATGTCCATGGTACGTTTCACACACCTTATCAGCATCCTCACAGCCTCTGAAGGCAGTAAGGGGAATTTTACCACCACAATATTTGTTTGTTTGTTGTTTAATCCCACCGCACTCAGCAATATTCCAACTACATGATGGAAGCCTGTAAATAATTGAGTCTGGAACAGACTATCAAGTGACTGATTTTGTGAATAACGATCCATGCTGTTTAGGTATACACCCCATTAAGTTATGATCCATGCTGTTAGGGTATGATCCATGCTGTTAGGTAATGATCCATGACGCTAGGGTGTGATCCATGCTGTTAGGGTGTGATCCATGACGTTAGGGTGTGATCCATGCAGTTAGGGTGTGATCCATGCAGTTAGGGTGTGATCCATGCTGTTAGGGTGTGATCCATGCTGTTAGGGTGTGATCCATGCTGTTAGGGTGTGATCCATACTGTTAGGGTATGATCCATGCTGTTAGGGTATGATCCATGACGTTAGGGTGTGATCCATGACGTTAGGGTGTGATCCATGCTGTTAGGGTGTGATCCATGCAGATAGGGTGTGATCCATGATGTTAGGGTATGATCCATGCTGTTAGGGTGTGATCCATGCAGATAGGGTGTGATCCATGATGTTAGGATGTGATCCATGCTGTTAGGGTGTGATCCATGCTGTTAGGGTGTGATCCATGCAGATAGGGTGTGATCCATGATGTTAGGATGTGATCCATGCTGTTAGGGTGTGATCCATGCTGTTAGGGTGTGATCCATGCAGATAGGGTGTGATCCATGATGTTAGGATGTGATCCATGCTGTTAGGGTGTGATCCATGATGTTAGGGTGTGATCCATGCCGTTAGGGTGTGATCCATGCAGATAGGATGTGATCCATGCTGTTAGGGTGTGATCCATGCTGTTAGGGTGTGATCCATGCTGTTAGGGTGTGATCCATACTGTTAGGGTATGATCCATGCTGTTAGGGTATGATCCATGACGTTAGGGTGTGATCCATGACGTTAGGGTGTGATCCATGCTGTTAGGGTGTGATCCATGCAGATAGGGTGTGATCCATGATGTTAGGGTATGATCCATGCTGTTAGGGTGTGATCCATGCAGATAGGGTGTGATCCATGATGTTAGGATGTGATCCATGCTGTTAGGGTGTGATCCATGCTGTTAGGGTGTGATCCATGCAGATAGGGTGTGATCCATGATGTTAGGATGTGATCCATGCTGTTAGGGTGTGATCCATGCTGTTAGGGTGTGATCCATGCAGATAGGGTGTGATCCATGATGTTAGGATGTGATCCATGCTGTTAGGGTGTGATCCATGATGTTAGGGTGTGATCCATGCCGTTAGGGTGTGATCCATGCAGATAGGATGTGATCCATGATGTTAGGGTGTGATCCATGCCGTTAGGGTATTGTCTCCCCACAGGGTACCACCACATCTGGCAGCATCAACAGTTGGCAACAGACCTTCCAAACAAGATGGTCATCCACAGCAAGGTTTCCAGACATACAAGATTTCACAGTGATACCCTGTACAGTAACAAACTGATCAAGGGCTAAAAAAAGTCTTGGTTTTCTTGTTCGTCAGTCTAAGATTTATGACAATGTTGAGACATGTTAGACATAAGACAAATGGTTATTGTGTAAAACATAACAAATTTCTTGTTTAATTCAATATACAGAGATTATAATACTAGCATGTTTGTAATACTGATTTTACGGAACAAGTGTCAGAATTCTTGTTCTTCCCGACTGAAAGCTAGGGTAATGCATGAATTCTTACATAAGTTTCATAAACTAAGTATTACACACATGTGAGTGTAATAATTTCTTTATGACCCATTTTTTCCTAATCCTTTTTGGCTCCCCTTTAGAAAAATGCAATGATCACGAACGCCGTCTCAGAAAAACACGATTGCCGAAAGTTGTCAACCATCTTCAGCTGTGACTTATCTAGTGTGGTGTAATTCTGACTTTATATCACAATAAGATTTGAATGATGTCAACAATTCCGTCCAGATGGCATAAACAATATATTGGTGTGCAGGAAGTGATATTTCCACTGGTGCACATATGACTTTTATGAACTCAGTTATTTCTAACCATGCTTAAACCTGTGGGAAATAAATAATGATATTAGAAATAATAAACATGATAAATCATATTCAGCATGTTTAAACTGTCACCTGCAAGACATGAGGAACGGTAGATGTCAACTGTCTTTTGACACTGGTAGGGTTTATTTCAGTATCACCTACTTGCAAAATTTCCATCATGATATATATATTTCTTATGTAATTGTAGGATTTTGCAAGTCAGAGCTGTGTTCTGATGAATCAGTGATTTACAAATTTCAACCCTTGTTAAATCACAACTGTGTCACTACAATCTTGCAAAAGAGCATCCACCATGTTCACCTCACACATAAACATAATAATCATAATAATGGCACACAGACCAATACAGCTGAAACTGAGTGACTCATGCTGCAGCCAGCTGGCAACAGTCAAGCAGAGTCCCAGCATCCTGTACAAATCACAACTTGGCCAGAGAACCAAGAGGCTATCAGCAAGAGCAACAACCTGCAGTTGTGGCACAGTGACACACTATCAGCCACTGCCCTGTTCCACAAATGCCTGTTGCGCAAAGACGATCACAACTCCAATACTCTAACATCGACTACAATAATCATAGGGCTAAGATCACTTTGTGGAAGTGGGTCGGTAACCACCCAATCTTCATTTTATTCACTCTTATAGTGATAGAAATTGGCACTAGTCCTACAGCCCTCGCAAAACTGCCCAATAGGTATAAAAAGCATTAGTGGAAATTTGTCTTTCTAAGGTTTCAGCTACATGTTGTCATTATAAAGACTAGTGGACTAAAATGGTTGGTTTCTATCGCTGTCTTACAACAAGCACATGATACCTTTTCTGCCCTGGATTCCTCATTAGCATGATTAGAGTTATCCCTGACAGAATGCTAGAACTTGTTTCTATATATTGTTGTTGACAATGGTTGATGCATACATTGAAACTTCCCCATCAATACAGCCAACAGCGATGATGTCTTTAGACGGATGAAAGTCCACTGTAACAGTCAGGTCGTCAAGCTCTATCTGTTTAGGAGCATCACAATCCTGGAATCAACATTCAAAAAATATTTATACATTTCTCGTTGGAGGTTTGGTAACTAATTCCCTTTCTAAAGATATATAATGACATACAACTTACCACTTCAGGTATCTTCAAGGTACTATATTACCATGATTACAAGTATATCAGTACTGAGGTAAACATTGGAATATTGTGTTACAATCCAAATGGGTCAATATAGGCCTATTGAGGAAATGTGTAAATAAGTGTATTTCTTTAATCACTACAATGATATCATTCCCGCCAGAGGAACAAAAGCCAATTTATCATGCTATGTTTGTCCTAAAAAAATCAAGGGCATTTCAACATGTTCAAAACAAGAAGAAAACATTGCTGTATGTCATTATCAAATATGTAGGCGGTACAAGCAATCTAGCTACACAGATGTGCCGGCAGTGCAAACAATACTTTGGCCAACAGTTATTGTCTCCAGTAAAGGAATACTAAGTTTGGAACGACTTAAGAAAAGTCACTAATGCTTTCACAACAAAAGATACAACTCTGACATTAAGTGCAATGTGCTACATTTTACCAGCCTGTTGATCACATGGATACTAGATGAGAAACGATACATCACACTGTGATCACGGTAATCATAGTTATTGCCCTTGGATCCCCATTTTAATGATTGGCCAGTGACGTATTGAAGCTGAGAGTCAACACGCACACAGATAGATACACCAAGGTTTTGGTTTGGTTTGTTGTTTAACGCCGCACTTGGCAATATTCCAGCTATATGACGGCGGTAGGTAAATAATCGAGTCTGGACCAGACAATCCAGTGATTAATATCATGAGTATCTATCCACAGAATTGGGATCGATGACATGCATGAACCAAGTCAGCGAGCCTGACCACCCGATCCCGTTAGTTGCCTTTTACGACAAGCATAGTCATCTTTTACCATGTTTACAGCAAGCATGGGTTGCTGAAGACCTATTCTACCCAGGAATCTTCACGGGTACTCACTGACAACAAATCACTTGGTGCATAAGGTTCAATGAGAATCTTAAATGTTTCTAAACATTGGCATGAATGGTGACAGTAAATTATGATGAACTGCCCTAAGCACAGAATGAGACTTTCTGAATGCAAGTTGACCGAGGCCTGTTTCGCTTTTTGATCTTGATTGACAAATGATGGGAAAGTTTCAAGAGCTTACTTCTGTATGTATACTCTATATAATACAGGACAGACTTCATACAACATGAATTAACACTGTATAAAGATGTTACAATTTTTTAAACTGTAGACATCACATATAGAGCGAAATAGGGTATATATATATATATCATATCAGTAAAAAACTGAATATACAATTCCTACATCACTACATAGTTGTCATAGTACTGTACATACTCAGTGATACATGACAATATATTCACATGTACAAAAGGTGAAAAGTCATATTTATGACAAAGGGGGGTAATTTTGAGAATCAAGATTATCTCCCTTGATTCGATGTTCGGTGTTGTGCAACATACAAGGGTGATATAGCCGGTAGCGTGTGCATATAGTGCCGTTTCCCCCCTATTGCATGGCATGTCTTTTTCAGTTTGTGTGTCATTTAGTAATTTTTTCACTTAGAAATTGGACGCTTACTGCAAAACCAAATCGTGATGGCCTAGTTTAGCCTACAGTAATACACACATTTGACACGTGGTTTTGTTGTCATTTAACCGTGCGACATTATTGGTTACCAGGGTGTAACAGGCACTGACATGGCGTGTAGTCTTTCGCATAGACACACATACGCTTGACTAACCGATTTTGTTTCGCTCTATCCTAAAATATCAGCGAAATAACGCCTGCGTAAAGACCACAACTTACTTCGTCTGCCATCTTGTTCGGATTTTGAAAAGTTGGATTTCAGGTTAATACGGAACACGCCAAAATATGTAAACGCAATTATTTAACTGGCACAAAATTGAAATGGTTCATGATATATAGTAAGTATATACATGTGTATTTTATGTCGAAGAAGGATGGGAATACGCTAGATTTGGGCATAAATATAAATAAGTTCAACGGTTAATATAGTGTATGAGTTTCATGTCTTGATCGTAAACCACGAAAGCCTAATGATGTCACTTTTGCAGCATTAATTTATATTTTTTTAATCGAAATTTCTCGTTATTTCAATTATTGTTTGAAATTTCGTATGTTTTTTTCTCGATACTTCAAATACTTTCTCGTTATTTCAATTATTTTCTCGAAATAACGAGTTTTTTCTCTCGTTACTTCGAATATTTTCTCGTTATTTCAATTATTTTCTTGAAATAGCGAGGTTTTTTCTCTCGTAACTTCGAATATTTTCTCGTTATTTCAAGTCCGAGTTATCTTATTCCGAGTCAAGATATACACTTTTTTTCTGTCTGGGGCATCCCCCATTAACCATCTTCTATCTCCATTCAATTATGATAAATAGCCATATCAATCCAATCAATGCCCTCTCACCAGTATAGTACTAGGCCGATCCCTAACAAGTAGAGAGTCTACATAGACTTTGTATAGTCTCTCTGCTAGCAAGGTTAATGAGGAAGCATGGTGACGGCATGATGTTCTAAACATACTCAGGTACAATAAAATGTGAATTATATGATGATCAGTTAGAAACGGATATCGACCCGTGAAGATCCGGGGTCTTCAGCAACCCATGCTTACCGAAAAAAGGCGACTATGCTTGTGACATGTCGGGCGACTAACGGGATCGGGTGATCAGACTTGCTGATCATTTTCATGTCATCGTATCCTAATTGCGTGGATCGATGCTCATGATGTCAATCATTGGATTGTCTGGTCCAGACTCGATTATTTACAGACCGCCGTCACATGACTGGAATATTGCTGAGTGTGGCGTTAAACAACAAACGCACAAATATAAGCCCCCTCCGGGCAGGGCCCTTGATCCCCATCGCTAGCCATCGCAATTTACATCTCCTGACGTCGCCGGATCTGACGTATGTTCATGACGTGGGTCACTGACGTTGCACCACTTTACGTAACACCTCTATCTACAAAACCATGGACATGGTCAATCAGAGAGAGGGCCCAGGTCAGCGATGGAAGCGGACGGATTGAACGTCTAGTCTCTCCCACGGTTATGTCGAGGACGTAGAATCGCGGTCCGACTTCCTGCTGTGTTTTAGTGACAGAACGGGTCTCCGCTCCTGCTGTGTTTTCGTGACAGAACGGGTCTCCGCTCCTGCTGTGTTTTCGTGACAGAACGGGTCTCCGCTCCTCCTGTGTTTTAGTGACAGAACGGGTCTCCGCTCCTGCTGTGTTTTAGTGACAGAACGGGTCTCCACTCCTGCTGTGTTTTAGTGACAGAACGGGTCTCCGCTTCTCCTGTGTTTAAGTGACAGAATGGGTCTCTGCTCCTGCTGTGTTTTAGTGACACAACGGGCCTCCGTTCCTGCTGTGTTTTAGTGTCACAACGGGTCTCCGCTCCTGCTGTGTTTTAGTGACAGAAGGGGTCTCCGCTCCTGCTGTGTTTTAGTGACAGAACGGGTCTCCGCTCCTGCTGTGTTTTAGTGACAAAACGGGTCTCCGCTCCTGCTGTGTTTTAGTGACAGAACGGGTCTCCGCTCCTGCTGTGTTTTAGTGACAGAACGGGTCTCGGCTCCTGCTGTGTTTTAGTGACAGAACGGGTCTCCGCTCCTGCTGTGTTTTAGTGACAGAACGGGTCTCCGCTCCTGCTGTATTTTAATGACAGAACGGGTCTCCGCTCCTCCTGTGTTTTAGTGACAACGGGTCTCCGCTCCTGCTGTGTTTTAGTGACAGAACGGGTCACCGCTCCTGCTGTGTTTAAGTGACCGAACGGGTCTCCGCTCCTGCTGTGTTTAAGTGACCGAACGGGTCTCCGCTCCTGCTGTGTTTTAGTGACCGAATGGGTCTCCGCTTCTCCTGTGTTTTAGTGACAGAATGGGTCTCCGCTCCTACTGTGTTTTAGTGACAGAACGGGTCTCCGCTCCTGCTGTATTTTAATGACAGAACGGGTCTCCGCTACTGCTGTGTTTTAGTGACAGAACGGGTCTCCGCTCCTGCTGTGTTTTATGATAGAACGGGTCTCCGCTCCTACTGTGTTCTAGTGACAGAACGGGTGTCCGATCCTGCTGTATTTTAATGACAGAACGGGTCTCCGCTCCTGCTGTGTTTTAGTGACAGAACGTGTCTCCGCTCCTGCTGTATTTTAATTACAGAACGGGTCTCCGCTACTGCTGTGTTTTAGTGACAGAACGGGTCTCCGCTCCTGCTGTGTTTTAGTGACAGAACGGGTCTCCGCTCCTGCTGTGTTTTAGTGATAGAACGGGTCTCTGCTCCTGCTGTGTTTTAGTGACAGAACGGGTCTCCACACCTGCTGTGTTTTAGTGACAGAACGGGTCTCCGCTCCTGCTGTGCTTTAGTGACAAAACGGGTCTCCGCTCCTGCTGTGTTTTAGTGACAGAACGGGTCTCCGCTCCTGCTGTGTTTTAGTGACAGAACGGGTCTCTGCTCCTGCTGTTTTAGTGACAGAACGGGTCTCCGCTCCTGCTGTGTTTTAGTGACAGAACGGGTCTCCGCTCCTGTTGTGTTTTAGTGACAGAACGGGTCTCTGCTCCTGCTGTGTTTTAGTGACAGAACGGGTCTCCGCTCCTGCTGTGTTTTAGTGACAGAACGGGTCACCGCTCCTGCTGTGTTTTAGTGACAAAACGGGTCTCCGCTCCTGCTGTGTTTTAGTGACAGAACGTGTCTCCGCTCCTGCTGTTTTAGTGACAGAACGGGTCTCCGCACCGTGAACATATTGGCCACTCCTCAGTCCCGTTGTGCGTTCCGTCACGTGATTGCCATTACTTGTATCTTTTCGACCGATATTCCCAAACCAACAATAAACTTGTCTGCTGTCGTCTGAATTTCACCCCCGAGTTTTTGTTTTCCGTCATCCCCCTAAGCTACCATCCGAGGGCAAAACGTACGTCCTTGGACAAATAACTACTAGAGCAATGAAAACCATGCACGAGTGTTGATAATCTATAATCTAGACCATCTTTAACTCTACTGATTCAGGGTAATAACAATCTCATTAAAATCAGATCTGAGTTCTTGCTACCGCTAAGATTTGTCTGAGTCAGAACTGAGATCTGATTTTGATGACATTGGGGTAATAGTATCTTATAGTCCAAGTATGGTTCCCAGTTTTTTTAATTCTATATTAAGATACAGTTACGGCAGTCGTATGCAAAGATTACTTTAGGGAACGATAGCTGCTAAATCGCATCAATCACTGGTTTTTGTCTCCAATATTTACAGGCACCAATGAAGCGGGACTACTGCCGAGTGCTGTGTTAATTCGGGACTTCTCCGTCTTCTGTTGTCATTTTCAGTCTAGATCTAGACGTCATTAGTTATCAGTGTCTGCATCATCAGGAAAAACTGCTACATTGACAGACACAATACATTCTGAACTAGCAGACAACGTGGTGTTTGAAGGTCTTGAATCACATTTGCCGGACCCGATCTAACGCCCCCTTTAACAACAAAAATAAACTTCAAGTTTACGAAATGGTTCATTTGAAAATCTATTTGGTCCAAAGTAATAGGTATCAGTGAGTAGAGCTGCTTGTTACTGTTCCGCATGGGGAAAAAGGTGCGGCAGACTCATGAGATCGCCCTCAGGACGGTCAGTAAGACCACGTGAGGTGGGGGTGAGGTGAAATGGGGTTTAACGGCGTCCAAGGTTATTGCACTTATACAGCGACGTGCATGCACGTGTGTGTGGCTGCTTGTACTAGTCCGGACTGATGCCGATTTATAGTGCTAGCCCACCGAGATACCATGCCGCAGTTTAGCATGAATACTCCACTCAGACACAATATACTGACTCCGAGCCGACCAGTCCTTGTTTTAGCCCCTTAATGCCGAGCTCCAGACAGGGTAACAACAAGTGCCATCTTTTAACGTCTTTTGGTATGACGCGGCCGGGGATCGAACCCGGGATCTTCGGCTCTCCGGGCGGCCGCTCAACCACAAGAGAATGGAGGCGGTAGTAAGACCACATACATCCGTATACCTAACGATTCTGTTAAGAACGTCCAGACTATGATTCTGTGAGGAACGTCGAAATAGTGATTCTTTAATCTGGGCTTTCTTTATCCAGGATACTACACCGTCCGGATAAACGGGTCTCACTGATTATTTATCTACAAGCAGTGGCAAAGATAACACTGCATCTGAAGGAAAGGTTTAAGAGTCGAAGCAGCATTTTACAAAGGATCTCCTATATTCTACCGACAGAAATAAGGGAACTAGTGATTTCAATGTACTTATCGTTGAGGTGCACAGTTACAATACCGTGGCGCTGCATCTGAACGCAACATCTCATCACGTGCATGAGTGTGGCGCGTAGCATCCGAGAACGGCACATGGTGCACGTGCACACACAAGCTAAAGGTTAGCATTCAAAGGGGAACTCACAATCACTAAATGCATTTGGGCTAAACACACGCTTCAAATGCATCCGAGACAGTATCTCAACGATCAGGGGAAATGGTAAAGTGTGGGTACGAAAGAGAGGAGAAATATAGAACTCTAAACGAGCTCCCGTGTAATACCAATTTTTTTAAAACGAGTGAATAGTTGTGGTATCTAAGGAGCGAAAGCGAGTCAGATACCACAACTATTCATGAGTTTTATAAAATTGGTTTTACACGGGAGCGCGTTTAGTATTTTATTTATTACTTGCCATTCATAAGGTTTTTAGAATTATACTGTTGAGCATGAATAGGATGACACCTAGACGATTCACGGCATAGTCCAATTGAGTTTAACAGAATAATACTTCAAACGCGTCAAAAGTTGAAACGTATGAATTTAATATCATACAACGGTCCACC